GCCCCCTTTCAAGTATTTTATTAGGGTATTAATTCTTGCAATTCTTCTCAGTGATGCAGTGTTCCTTCTGGTTTACTCTCTTGGAAGAGGGTAAAAGTTCCAGGAGCTTCTACTTAGCTCTTCCTAATATAATGGCCCTCATTCCATGGGCAAGCAAGCCAATGTGGGGATTCTGTCAGTTGCCATGCATGTCTATTACAATTACATGTTCAAGAACTGGGAAAGTAGCCATGCAGTTGGTGTGTGGACTAACAGTGGTGTTTTTTTTTTTTTTTTTTTTTTTTGTCCCTAGTAATTAGCATCAACTCAGAACCAACGTCTAGTAGACCTCAAAAGCTCTGCATATTTCCTTTTCCCCAATGCACAATCACTCTAGTAAATGGCCACATGTCTTTTGGGGGAAGGCTTGAAGGATTTGCCATGTGTACTGTGGCAACAGTGCAAGGTCCTTCCTAAAAGGGACACAAGTCTCCCCTTTAGTCAAGGGACTCATTTGGTTCTGTGAATTGATTTAAGTCTGAAAACTCAGTGAGAGTTTGTGATTGTCCACTGTGGTGACTCAGTCAGATTTTTGGTTACCTGACCTGGAGCTTTTCCTGTTATAAATATCAAGCAATACTCTATTTAGGCTTCCTATCTATTTTGTTCCTATTGCATCTCTGTGGGCCAAGGCACTCTGATTACTAGCCGTCCTTTAAGGTAAATGTGCCCACCTTGTTTTTGGTGGTTAAATGCTGCCTGGCCTCTGCTATTATGGGATCCTGTCATCCTCACTGAAATTAACGATCCCATTTCAATATTAGCATCCTCTATAGTCACAAGGTTTTCAAGCAGGGGATGGCTAGTCTCAGACACTGGAGGGAACATACTTCCATTGGTAAGAGAGGATCAGAGTGACTTGGGGGGTTTGAGATTGTCAGTGGGCCCAACCCATTTCAAATTTTGGGATCCTATTATTTACCATTTAACAGCCTAACTTTCAACTAAGAACCTGGCATGTGTGTAAATTTAATAGTAGTTATAATTCAGTAACCTTAAATTTAGTAAAATTGAAATTTTGCTTTTGATTTTTAGTAATATCATTCTTGTTGCAACAATAAATAAGAGCTTCTTTTAGAATTGTTATAGAATCTCTCTGGTTCTCATGCCATAATTTTGAGAGTTAATGGACCTGTGCTTGTCATTTCTCTTTACAGCCACTCAAAGGCACTCAGAAGAATTCATCTCACACTGCACACCTACTAGCCCCCTTTATAGCCATAGCAGTCAAGTGTAGCTGCCACTTGGGCCCCCAAGGTGCATGCTCTAGCTGGCACTTCATCAGGATCAACTACAGGTGAGGGCTTGTTAATTGAGATACCCTGCATGCCATGAATTACTAGTACTCCATCTCCCTTTAGCAAGGAGCTCAAGCCAAAGGCTCAGTCAAACCTACCTCCAAATCCCATCTTTGCAGTTCTATCTCTTGGGACTAGCCCCAGGACAGGGAAGGCTTAATAGAAAGAATTACTCATTATA